TCTACCGTTGATTTTTCATATTGGTTTAGATTTATTAGAAAATTGGGAAATTATTTAATAAATCTTCAGATATGATACTTCTTCAGGAGGATTTAATTAGACTTTCTAAATGGTGCGATGTTAATGGAATGAATCTTAATCTAAAAAATGTATACTCGTTAAATTCACGCGCAAAAATAATATTTTCCCATCGGTTTATACCTTCAATGGAATAGTTATCCAAGAAGTGGAAACTGTTAAGGACCTAGATATAGTATTCGATAAAAAGCTTACATTTATACAACAACTAGAAAGTGTTATTAAAAGATCATCTCAATCATTAAGTTTTCTTATAAGAAATAGTAAAGAATTCCGTAATGTTACCACAAAAAAACTTTCATACTTCTCAATTGTTAGAAGTATATTAGAATACTGTAGCACAGTCTGGCGTCCCCATTATTCTAACCATACCCTTCGGCTTGAGCGCATACAATAAAAATTTTTATGGCATCTTGCCTTTTCAACACCAAAATCGTATAAAAATGCACCGTATAAACGCCGGGATATTCTGAATTTGTAACTTTTATATAAAATATTTAGAAATAAGTTAGATTGTACTTTATTACTAAGTAAATTTAATTTTCGTATCCCCAAGTAAATATCCTCGTAAGTACATTACTCCTCTTTCGCCGCCCCTTCGTAGAACTGTACTAGGATCTAATTCCTCTATACCCAGACTTTGCAGACTTCTAAATACTTATAATAATGTAGTAGCTATTCACCACGACTCTTTTAACTTTATTCGGTACAAAATTTATCAAACTATTAATATTTTTTGTAGTGCCAATTTTTTTTGTATTAATTTTTTTTTTAATTATGTATTGTATATTTTAGCTATTATGTTAAGACTTGTAGGAAATACTGTAAGCACTAAACATGCTTTGTTTACCTATTATTGAATGTGCACTTAGTTTATATCACTGTCTTAGAATTAAGCATATGTATTAGTGTAACGTTTGTTGGTGAACCAAATAAATAAATAAATCGTTGTGCAGTAGTGCAAGTAATTCGTCGTCCCACACCACCGCAGTTGCAACTCAGTGCCATCAACCTCGAGACCTGAGTAAGAGGCCGTCAGAGGACCAAGCCCAAGTAAGTGAGTCTCTCCTATTTATCCTATATCCTATTCCTATTTATGAGCTGTTCTCATTTGTTGTTTTTTTCCTACAGCAGCTCATGTTCCTGCCCTGCTAGCTGACATAGTAAATTAGGATAATTGCAAGTGTATTGTCCAAAACCCGCCACGTGTCACGTCCGCCATCTTGTTTAAGTTATAGCCAACCACGCTGAATTTTTGCACCTAATGGTTTGAGGTACCAATATAGCCCAACGGATTAGTAAGCTAAAGTGGCAATGGGCCGGCCATATAGCTCGAAGAACCGATAACCGATGGGGAAGAAAGGTTCTCGAGTGGCAGCCTCGTACCGGTAGGCGTAGTGTAGGGCGACCCCCCACTAGATGGAGTGACGACCTGGTAAAACATGCAGGAAGTCGAAGGATGCAGGTGACTCAGGACCGTGCTTTGTGGCATTGCTTGGGGGAGGCTTACGTTCAGCAGTGGACTTGTGAAGGGCTGTAATGATGATGATGATGACCTTGTGGCCGCACCGTTTTGCGGTTCCTTCGCTCCGGATACGAATTTTTTTTTGGTTATTTATATAACATATTACACATGATAAAGAGGATATAATATGGTACAACAGAAGCTTAATGAAAACTTTATCGTGTACCACAAGCAAAGAATGGCAACCTAGTCACCCTAACCATTTTGTGATTATCCGTTGCCGGATTCAAACACAGGAACCCTAACGCCGCACCAAATAATATTCTAAAAACTAAAATTAACTTCTTGAAAGTCATCAAAATTATGTTTTAATAAATAAACTACCGTAAAATGGGAGAATAGCAACGATTTTCAACTTTGTCCAAAGAATTTGTTGTCAATAACTTTTTATTTTTTTACCTCAAGTGTTTTTATATCATGTTCGGTACCATGTAGAAAGAGCTATAACAATATTTTTTTAACTATAAGCTTAGGTTTTCTGAAAAAATTGTAAAATATTTACTATTTCTATTCACTCAACGATTGGGGTTGATAGAAACGCGTAAAGAGGTGAATGGAAAAACTGTTAGGGCTGCGACAAATTACTTCTAAACGAACATGCAAAAATGTAAGGTTCTGTGTTTAATTTTTTTTTTTTTGGTTTGTAAATGCTAAATGAAATTTATAATTTGTGATTTAAACAATTTTTGCATACAAACAAATATATTATTATTTTAACTGATTTCATTTTTACGGAATAATGATGAACTCTGTTCAATAAATCAAACAAGATACTTAAGAGTTTGTTCGTATTTGAATGAAATACAATTTTGTGAACGAAAATTCCCATATATTACGAAAAATAAACAATATTTATAAATCTTCTGAACTTAAAAATTATCATAACAAAGTTATCACAGGTAATCAATTTGAGTCAACGTCATAGATTTGTATAGAACCAGTACTATTACGTAAAAATATTCAAAATTCTTAAAGATTCCCAAATTAAACTTACAAACTATCTGGATATTTTAGTTCACATCATCTTCTTCTAGAACTTTTAATATTTATTCAGTATTATCGTAGTAATTATATATTTGGTTTTTCCTTGGAAATTTAATGAGAACTTGTACCGATACAGTCTTGTTTTTTTTTTGTAATAGGTAACCTGTATTGTTTGTTATACTGACCGTCATTCACTATTTTTTTTATTATATGCGAGCAGCTATGCAGGTCTAGGTAAAGAGACCAGTATCACTGAGACCTAAAAGATCTATTGTGATCGCTGGTATGGCTATAGTTCACTGCTAAGCCCTATGTCTTCAATGAATCGAAGGAGTTGCTTAGCCGTGAGCAATTTCACTTCTTCTGGGCGGAGAAGATAGTGTCCCAGATGAGTGTTACGTTTGCGCATTAAGGATTTGCAATCGGTTAGGATGTGTAGAGGCGTTTCTTCCGTTATGGAACAGAACTGACACATCCTTGAGTTGCTTAATCCCAGGATGGACATGTGATTTTTAAGACAACAGTGTCCAGTTAGGGCTCTCGCCAGAATCCGCAATTTATTTTTACTTAATCCCAGGGCTTCTGAAGCGAATTTACGATTAAAGGCCCGGATTACGGTTTTAGAATGTTTTAAGCCTGGTGTGTCAGACCAGATCTTAAGTGATTTATTGTGATAAAGAGTTTCAAGGGTCAATCGGGCTAGGCTTCTTGAGATTCCACAAAACGGCTCGAGTCCAAATTGTGTGCACTTTGAGGTCTCCCGTGGAAGTTTGTCGGTAAATTCGTTGCATATAATACCCTCGTGACCCGGAATCCATCTTAAAACGACCCTGTTGTTACAACCCAGGGCGTTTAAACGGTTCACGCAGTCTCCAACTAGCTTTGAGTTCACTAAGTTTGATCTCAGCGCTAGCAGTGCTGCTTGACTATCAGAGTTTATGTAAATTTTATGGTTGACGTAGTGTTTTTGCAGATTGATTTCCTTACACCAAATTACGGCGAAAATTTCTGCCTGGAAGATAGAGGTCTATCTACCCAAATTCATAATAAGTTTGAATTTGGGGCGTTCCCCGTAAATTCCAAAGCCTACGTCGAGGCCCATTTTAGACCCATCGGTATACCATATGAGGCTACCGACCTCACAGATAACCTGGCCATTCAGCCAGTCTTCTCTGGAGGGTAATTCCACTATATCCTTTTTATCAAAAGTGTGTAGCGGACGCATGATATCTGAGATCATGCATAAGACCGGTGATTCCTTAATTGAGTCGAGCATGGATCTCAATCTGTAGGAGAGCAAGCTCAGACCGCCCTAGGCGTTAATCCTTTACAAACTAGCCCTCGCCTCCTTGTCTAGATAGAGATCAAGGGGCGTTAGGCATACAAGTGGATTAAGAGCCGCTCCAGGCGATGATCGCATAGCTCCAGTTGCCATTAGGCAGGCAGTCCTTTGTAGATTATTTAGTCTGGCCGCAGTCGTCTTTTGGTTGGCCTTGTTACACCAGACAATAGAGGCGTAAGTGAGAATCGGCCTCACTATGTTGCCGTACAGCCATAGGACCATACTGGGACGCAAGTCCCAGTTGTTCCCGACCAAACGACTGCACGTACCTAAAGCAATTTTTGCCTTATGGCATACGTTGCTAAAGTGAGAGTTCCACGTTAGTTTTTGGTCAATTATTACGCCCAAGTACTTAACTTCCGTGGAAAATGGTACTTCTTTACAATTAAGTTTTGGTTGGACTAATTTATCCAACCGTCTCTTTTTGGTAAAGGGTATTATAACAGTTTTATCAGCGGTAACTGATAAACTGTTATCCCTACACCAGTTATTTATGGTGTTTGTCATTCAATATCTCATTAGATATAATTTTTATTTTACTCTCTCTAATATTATTGTCATCAGCAGTTTTTCCAGTACTGATCGTAACCTTTTCACAAAAACTATCAATAAAGAGAATGGGTAGAGTATTGATGTCTATATCATTATGTATTTTGCACCGTATTTCTCTTATGTTATTATCATAATAATCTTCCTAAGCTATAATAATTTTCCTGTATCTCATGTATATGTACATTTGTTTTGTCCTGCGTTGTTATCGAATTCTTTCCATTCTCTATTGTTATCATTATTGTCCTTGACTTCTCTTGCTATTCTTTCTAAACTTCATTTTTTGTTATGTCCTCAATATTTTTTCCTTTAGTCTTGTTGTATTCTATATTATTGTCGAAATTTTCTTTTTCTTGTATTTTTTTTTTGCTTCCAAATAGGGTCTTTAAATTTTTTTTCCAATCCCTTTACATTTTCTTTTGTTGGGTTCTATATTATTAGGGCAATTTAGTTCTTCTTCATTTGCTTTTATTTTCAAGTTGTTCATTTTATTTCTTTTAACTTCTCCTTTATTTTTATTATTTAAACCTGATGGTCCACTAGTACACCATACTCTGTTTTTTTAGGATTTTCAATACTGTAATCAACTTCAGTTTCTGTATGATCTTCAATTTCTTCTGCAACGACACTTTTACCTGGGAGTACATTGAGTTTTCTTTTTGACTCTATGATGTTCATGACACCATATCTCATTTCTTTGAGGAGTGTTACTAAAGAATCTTCTACAGCACTTTGATTATCTGCACCTAAGTCTCCGTCGGGAATTCTGGCTAATATTTCATATACCTTTAAAGGGTTAATCCCTGTTTGCTTTTAAATCCAGCAATAATATTCTTTGGAAAATTTTTGGAAAGCATCTTTTAGAATCGAGGGTAATTGTCGATCATATGGCATTTGTTTATGTTTTCTATTAAGAACATTTAAGAATCATCGGATTTATAGCTCTTTGGCCTCTTTGACGCTTCATATCTCGGGTACTGTGATGATACAACACTGACTTGTGTATGCCATATTATTTAACAACTTCTTCTAATTTAACATTTCGAGAAGTTACATATTCGTCCACAGCTTTTTTTTTATTATTTCCGTATCATATTTTTTATACCTTTTCCTTGTAGGATCGGGTCTGTATAAAAGCGGCATGTTGAATATACATACAGCGGTATGTACCTGTAAATGAAAATTATCATTTTAAAACGATCATTTATTTACCATTTACTAAATTCCCGGCTCGCATATACCACTTTTATATTACACTTGCTACTTTTATATTATGGACTTACTACTTTAATAAAAACTATGAAAGTAATAATTTAGTTATGCTAACAGTTTTTGACAGCCCTATATTTATCTCTATTGTCCCCTCATTAGTTTCTTTTCACACATTAAGCGTTTCTATTATTCCCAACTATGCTTACATTTAACCCATACTACTGTTCTATTCCTCTTAAATATATTCTATTTTCACCTTTTAAATAATAAACTTACACTTCTGATATTTTAAGAAATTTTTGAAGTTTAATGAGGGATTCTTACTAACCCTCACTGAATTTTTATAATTTATTGCACACGTAATGAGATAAACAGGTTAAACAGCACAATTCGCTAATTTTTCACACCTAAAATTACGAGTTGCGGCAATTAAATTAAACGCGTTCACAAACGTATGGAGTATCCGTAGAAAAGCGTTAAATAAGGGTGGCGCCACTGTAGCTATATTTTTTATGGCACAGACTTTCACAATAATTCTTTTTACAATAATTATAATTTATAATTAAAAATAATTTTATTGCTTTCAAAATTTTTATTTTCAAAAACCATTCTCAACGTATTTTACGGCGATTTAACGTACCCCGTAGCTACTCGAGCGCTGTAGTGGAGAGTTTTTGAACTGTTACTTACTTTGCGACGAGGTTCGCCACCCGTCACGTTCTGTCTCCCGGAGGGGCGAAAAGTGGATTGCGGAAGCCCGTCTGGCTACGCTGAATGTATGTGGAGCAATGAATGTTAAGATGGATGAAGTATGCGAAATGATGAATGACAGAGGAATAGATGTGTTATGTGTAAATGAGACGAAACGAAAGGGAAAGGATGCCACTGCACATGGCACGTATACCGCGTATTAGTCTGGTGTAGACGATACCGAACGGGCATGCCAGGGAGTCGGTTTCATCCTTTCAAAAAGAGCATGAATGTGTAAGCCCGAGGCTGCTATGGATACGAATGAAAGTGGGCTTAAAGAAGCTGTTCTTGCTAGGGGTGTACGCCCCAGACATGTCTAAGCCCACTTACATCCGAGAGTGGTTTTGGGACATGGTAAGGATGGTGTTGACAAAATGTAAGGAAAATGAAAATATTATTATGTTAGGAGACTTTAATGGAAGGGTCGGGGTGAGGAGGTCTGGTTATGAAAGGATATTGGGAACGTTTGGTGATGAAAGTATAAATGAGAATGGTGAAGACCTCCTCACCGTATGTGTGGAAAAGAATCTCTTTGTGACAAATACTTTTTTTTCGTCATAAGAAGATTCACATGTATATCCATGGGAAAGAGGTGATGATAGAAGCATGATAGATTTCGTAATTGTGGATGAAAGAATGAGGAGCGCAGTCATAGATACAAGGGTTTACCGGGGGTCCAACGTAGGGACGGATCATTACTTGGTCTTATGTCGAATTAATGGTCTTTTCAAGCGTTGGCGGCATCGGACATCTGTGTCTACCACTGCGTTACAGCGTATAAGAATAGAGAAGTTACTGAGAGAAAATATTAGGTGTTTGAATGAGTTGTGTATGAATGATTTAGACTTGAATACTGTGTGGGATAATATTAAGAAAGGTTTGGTGGATGCAGCCACCAAAGTATGTGGTGTAAGTAAGAGAACAAATGAAAGGAAAAGGAATACGTTGTGGTGGGAAGATGAGGTACGGGTGGAAGTTGAATCAAAGAAGAAAGCATGGTTAGATTTACTAGCAACTAAAGTTGGTAATTCTGGTGGTATGAATGATGAGATTGAACGAAAAAAGGCAGAATTTAGACGTCTAAATAAGAGAGTAAAAGAAGTAGTTGAAAGGAAAAAGAAAGAAAGAACGGATAAGAATGATAGAAGAATATCTGATAATTTCCAGGCTAATATAAAAATGTTCTGGAAACTCGTAAGAACTGCCAGAGGAAATACAAAGCAGCCTATAATTAATGCTGTAAAGAGACGAGAATGGATGTATTCTGAATGATGAAGTTTCGAATTTAAACAGATGGAAGGAATATTTTGAAAGCGTGTTTATGAGTGAAGAGTCGTCTGAATTAAATGAACAAGAAATTCCGAAAGAAGTGGAAAGGGGTATGGAGATAAGGGTAGATGAAATAATGAAAGCAATGAAAAGCATGAAAGCAGGTAAGGCAGCTGGATATGATAGAGTATCACTCGAGATGCTAAGGGCTGGAGAGGGAGTGGTGGCAGGCCTGCTGTATACCTTGTTTAATATGTGTTGGGAATTAAAACGGGTGCCGGGTGACTGGTGTAAAGCAGTTATAGTACCAATATATAAAGGAAAAGGGTCAGAGCGGGACTGCAAAAACTACCGTGGTATCGGCTTGCTTAGTATTGTGGGTAAACTGTAATGCTAAGGTGTTAATTGAAAGAGTTATGAAAGAAACTGATGGAAAAATTTTTGATGTGCAAGCGGGTTTTCGAAAGGAAATGGGGTGTACAGATCAAGTCTTTTCCATGCGCATGATTGCGGAGAAGTTTTTGGCTAAAAACCAGAAAGTTTTTTGTGCGTTCATGGACTTGCAAAAGGTTTATGACAGTGTGGACAGGAATGTGTTATAGCAAACACTGAACTAATATGGGTTGAGCGCTGGTTTGATACAGGCATTGAGGTATCTTTATAGGGATTCTAGTGCTTGTGTCAGAATCAATGGGGTCTACTCGGACTGGTTTGGCATCCGAAAAGGTGTCAGACAGGGCTGTGTGGCTTCCTCTTGGCTGTTTAACCTATTTATGGACAGGTGTTTGCAAACTTTGAAAGATGAAGAATGTGGGTTAAGAATGGGCGAGTTAACCGTCAAATGCCTTTTGTATGCCGATGATCAAGTCATATTTGCGTCATCGGCGGCTGAATTGCAAATGATGGTTACATTAATGAACTGGGCATTAAAAGAAAGAGGAATGAAAGTAAACGCAAGTAAGACGAAAGTGATGGTTTTTGAAAGAGAGGAAAACAAAACGGTATGTGAAATAAGAATAGAAGGAGAGTTAATTGAGCAAGTGGATGAGTTTGTGTATTTGGGATGTATATTTAGCAGGGATGGTAGATATGATAAGGATATAGAACGACGAGTAAATGCAGGGAATAGAGTGAATGGGGCACTACACTCTATTGTGAAGAACCAGAATGTATCAAAAAAGGCACGTATGGTAATTCATAATACTGTGTTAGTCCCTACTTTAATGTATGGTAGTGAAAGCTGGGTGTGGCAGAAGAAGCACGAAAGTAGAATAAATGCTGTAGAAATGCGGTCTTTAAGGAGTATGCTAGTGTTGAATCGGAATGACAGGGTGAGAAATTGCGTGATAAGAGATAAATGTGGTATGCAAGATGATGTTATGACATACAGGATTAAGAAAGGAATGCTTCGGTGGTTTGGTCACGTAGAAAGAATGAATGAGGAAAGAGTGACAAAGCAAATTTATATGGCAGATGTAAACGGCAGAATCGGGAAGGGACGCCCTAAAAAAAAGTTTATCGACCAAATTGGCGATATTTTGAAAATAGGCCACGTTAAAAGTACCCTTAACCGACGAGCATGTATGCGTAAGAGGCGAAAGAGGAATGTCAGGATCGTGTCAAATGGAAGTCGTTTAAAAACCCTTTCTTTCACATACCCCCACAGAAAGAAGTGTAACGGAGTGAGATCAGGTGAGCACGGTGGCCAAGCATGTGGTCCTAGTCTGCCGATCCAGCTACCATGAAATAGCTCGGTGAGGCGCTCACGGACGAACCTCACGACATGTGGAGGTGCACCATCATGCTGGAACCATGTGTGGCGATATTAAGCCAACGATAGGTCGTCCAAAATGTCAACCAACTGTTCATTTATAAAGTTTAGGTATTGCCGTCCGTTAAGTCGCTGTGGCAGAAACACTGGCCCTAGTACGCGATTCTTAAATAAACCTGCCCATACGTTAACTGACCATCGGGTTTGGTTTCTGGTTTGTTAAATAGCATGCGGGTTAACCTCGCAATACACGTGAGTATTTCTTCGGTTTCACAGGCCGCTTCTGGTAAATGTGGACTCGTCTGTCCAGATGTCGTGGTTAGTGAAACCAGGTACACGTTGTAGCTGGTCTAATAGCCAACGGCAAAAAAACTCGTCGGCGGTTGTGATCGTCTAGAACTAAAGCTTGCTGCTGTCTGTGTAAGTTAAATCTTATTATTCCCGATCTCACTGACTGTCTTAATAAATTACTGGTACAAGGTATATTCCCAGATAGTCTAAAAATAGCTAAAGTCAGTCCGATCTAAATCTGGTATAAAGACAGATCCAGGAAACTATCGTCCTGTGTCAGTTTTGCCAGTGCTTTCAAAAATCTTGGAGAAAGTAATCTACAAACGACTGAATGACCACTTGATTAAAATAAATTTTTTGTGTGATCAACAATACGGCCTCCGATCGAAATCAAATACTCTCAGTGCAGCTATTGACTTAGTCACTAAAATAAAAACTAAAATAGATCAAAAGCAGTTTGCACTAGGTGTGTTTATTGACCTAAAAAAAGGCCTTTGACACAGTGAGTCACTCGTTGCTACTGAAAAAGTTAGAAAGTATTGGTGTAACTGACACAGCACTCCAGATGTTAAAATCTTACACTGAAAATAGATACTAGATTGTAAGGATTGGAAATTATCAAAGTAACTTCTTACCTATAAATTGTGTACCACAAGGTTCGATTCTTGGCCCGTTATTGTTTTTAGTGTATGTTAACAATATTTGTGAAGTAGACTTACACGGCCAACTCACTCTGTATGCAGACGACACATGTATATTCTACTTTGTACAGAATATAAATGACCTTACTACGCTTGCTCAACAAGATCTCAACACACTACACAGATGGTTCCAGTACAACCTATTAACAATAAATACCGCTAAAATATCTTACGTAATATTTAGTGCAAAAAAACAAAAAAATTCAACACCACACAAAATTACACATTAACGGAGAAATATTACGCCAATCTAATTAAGAAAAATACCTTGGGCTATTGCTTGATAAACATCTGTCATGGAACGGTCATTTATCAATTATAAAAAATAAGCTTACATCTCTAATAGGTTCTACATACGGCATAGCTCGATGTATACCACTGAAAGCTCGCCCTTTGATCTATAACGTTAAACCACACTTAATTTACTTAATAGAGATATGGGGTACAGCAGCCAAAACTTTACTACAAAAGGTACAAGTACTTCAAAATAAATTAATAGAAATTCTATATCATTACGACTTTTTAACTTCGACCAAAACAATATACCATGAGACGAAATTACTAAACATCAAACAATTATACATCTATAACACATGTATGTTAATATATAAAATCACACACAATATGATCCATTCAAATATAACATTCACCACAAAAGGAGAAACGCTAAAATATTCATCACGCCGCGCAAACCATCTTGTATTACCAAACATTCGCACTAATTATGGAAAAAATACCGTAACATTTGTGGGAGCACAGTTGTATAATAAACTCCCTTCAACTATAAAAGATGCAAATTCGCTCAATATTTTCAAGAAAAAATTATTAGACCACATTAAAAAAGAAGACATTTTATAACTTGGACCCCCGTCTTATATTATCAAAACTTGAAACATCGCTCTTACGCCTCTACCCTAATTTATGTCTACTATTTTATTATATTGTTCTGTGTGATTTATTTTAAATTGTATGAATGTACTCATGTAAGTGACATTAGTCTTAATGAGTAAATAAAGATCTTTAAACCGAAGCTTGCACTTTGTGCACAATGTATGGTGGCATTCGGTAACGCTTGAACAATTTGTGAACTGTACAGTATGATACACTTGTTCCATCCCGACGACTTAACAATTTAGCAATACTTCGTGTACCTAAGTTCGGATTCCGGCGAACGACATCTAAAATGCGCTCCTCAGAGTGAACAGTCACTTAACTTCTACAACCTGCCGCCTACGGAGCAATGGGCCGATTTTTCAACACTCGCTGAAATGCTGCTGTTATCACACGAGAGTCAGTTGGGTGTCGAGCGGTCGGAAATTTTTTTCTGTAAATTCGTAATGCACCCAAAGCATTCCCGCAGGCTTCTCCAAGGCACATTAACATGTTGCCGTATTCACGAGCACTATAAACGTACGCGTTAGGCACTTTTAAAACAAAACAAGAAACACTAAACGTAACTATAAAAGAAATAACAACAAAAATTTAATACACAAAACAACTGAACTGATCACGCCATAGATAAGCTGGTAAAAACGGAAGGCTCACGCGCACTTCGACACAGAATTGTTTCAAAAACTAAAACTAATAATCAATTCCCGCCGAAACAGATGCGTACTGCGCAGTTCGTGTGTCCTTGGTCTTTGCAGTAACCGCGGCGGGTGGCCAAGCGGAAATTTCCCACATTTTGGCATTGTAAATTGCGAGGCGACACGGATTGGCCAGGTAGCGGCAGCGTGTGCGTGAAAGGGAAGGGTAGAGTGAGCGAAGTACAGTAATACCTATGCATTGTTGCGTCATATTTAATATTTATTCTGTGGTTTCGTACCGAGCTAAATAAGAGAGTTCAGCGTCCGCACGTTTATTGACCCTATAATCAGCTGGTACCGTTATAATTTTCACTGCTTGTTTTATTCAGTATTTTCATAATTTTTTTATTAAATTATTGTTTAATTTAGCTGTACTCACGCTCCATATAACATGATGGAGCGTTAATAAAGCTAATAAAACGTTGTGAAAAGATGACTTTTTTTCATTGGGATCGATTTTAACATGGTCCCATCGTCAACGGTATCGTTAGTACTATAAGTCTGTCTTCATTTTCGGGAGCATTTCGAAAATACCCTGTAAAGTATTCCTATGTACTCTGTGCTCTGTGGTAAAGGTATAGCTCATGAAGGTTAGAGAACAGAAGAACGATCACTACGTATTAAAGCATAGCCCGCCTGTCCTTGAAAATTGTAGAATTTAAAGCGGCGCTGACGTCGGTGAGTAGTGACTGCGAAGTTAGCTGTTTATGAGTACAAGTAGATAAAGTTAGTTGAATAATGTACAAATTTTCTCCGCGGTATTGGTGGGAAAATTTTCATGCTCCGTAATTTTTGACAAAAAGAAACATTAAAAAATGGAGAAATATTTTATTGTGCGTGGATGTGCAAGTGGTTTAGCATCTGATCGGAAAAATAGACTGAAAATGACTTTTATTGACCGAACTTAGCGATCGAGCGCCTCACTTATGGTGTCCATATTTCTGGGACACTATTTTCTACGGCGATCGTTCTCCTGTTCTCTAATCTTCGTGGTATAGCTTAAGAAACAAATGAGTGAGTTTTGGCGGGAACTTGGCCGACGACGGACTGTCGCTCCTGTTTTGTCGCTTGAATAATGGTTTGAAGTGGATTTTAATTCGTAAAAGTGATTTGATTTTGTGAATTAAGTGTTTGCGTGTGTGAACTATTAGAGAAAACAACGAAACAAGTGCTTTGATGTTGATATAAACTTCAAGTTAATTTGATCGCTTGGGCGCCTTACGAACTTGAGTGGCTGTCGTCATCAACAATCCGCTAGGTTGAGCTGTCGTCAAAATCTTCCAAAAATTTCCAATGTGACGCATCAGCATATTGGGTGTGTTTGGCAGAAAAAAGCGCTAGCAAGCGGTTACAAGCGCTGAAATAGTTTTCGGCCAGGACACGATTGCTATTTTAATAGCGCTGAGACAATCCGCCATTTTGCTTATTTAATTTGTTTGTTTTGAAGTAGAGTTTATAAGTTTTTTTATGCATTATTAGTTATAAGTAATATAATGACATGAATAGACATATACACGTTATTAAAAATTTATGATTGGTAAGTTTTTAATATGAATACTTTACAAACATATATTTAAATTAGGTTAGGTTCCCCGGTTAAAACTAACTTCGTGTCTTAGAGGAAAATAGCTATTTACATTTTGACAGCGCTTACCGCTTACGATCGCCATTTTGCTTACAAGCGCTTGCTAGCGCTTTTTTCTGCCAAACGCACCCATTGTGAAGAAAAAATATATAAAATGAGGATTCTGAAACAAATGATAAGCTTAGAAGGGCTAGTAGCCAGAGCCGTAAAGCCAATTTAAATAAAAAAAAAGAAACAAAGAACTTGTCAAAGAGAAAAATTATAAAGATTGTAATATAATTTAGAATAAATAACGGGGCGAACGTTTTATAATGTAAATATGCAAATAATTCATTAAAATTTTAACCAATTGATTAGTCACTGTCGTAACGTTAAGTGATTATATTTTTAACGGCAATTCCATTTAACTTGGATTTTTATTGGAACATTAATGCAACTAAAAATCATCCAGATGCCTTTGATCCTCAACTCCTTCAAGACAACATGTATGACATGTTGTCAGAGTTCAGAGTGTCAGAGTTTGATTCATTTGTGGATATACTAAAACTGACTCCAGGTGATCCTCTTGATACATTTGGTGAAATGTGGTATCCAGTGTTTTTGTGGTCATTATGCTCATCTGTTTTTGTGCACACTTGCGCGGGATTAGTCGCTTTCGGAACTCTAAGGAAACACAAATATGGAAAGTTTTTTCCAGTGTTATTGATATTGATGGGTGTGGTAACTCCAGTTACTTCTAGTGTCGCGAGCAGTGCTGCAATTGCTTTTATATACCGAGCAGCAAAACTCGATATGCCACCAATACATGCTATGATATGGGGCATTGGACAAACAGTACTAGGGGCTGGAATAGGATTTACTAGAATTTTAGCCACATTGTAAAGTAACTACACAACACTAGGTCATTATATTAAATTAATCATAACATTATATACAATAAAAAGTCAATTATGCCTTAAAAATAATTTTAGATGGTGCTGTTTAGGGGTGAAATACAAATGTATATGAAGCTTGGTGTACCTATGTAATATTAGTAAAAAGTTTCTATTAATTCCCATTTTGTATCATTAAATATCCAGTGCTTTTGATACCAATTTTATGCTCAACATAAATTTTTAAACAATTACTGGATAAGCTAATTGAGAAGCTCCCTATACTATGGTATTTGTGTAGTTATCAAAAAAGTGATGGAAGAATGATGAATTAGGAATAATTGTTATATAGCTTGTGATAGGATGTCAAGTGTAATATTGCTTATTTTGTTTATATTTTTTTAAATATAATAAGGGTGATAAATGAGCACATAGTCTACCTGATGATAAGTGGATGCTGTAGCTCATAGATAATGAATCAAAATGCAGATGTGTTGTCAACCCTGAGGACTTAGAATGAATGCCTTGTTTCCAGTGTATAAGTTTTTGGTTCTCTACACTCACACACACACACACACACAAGTGTAGTTCTAACCTAGCTGATTCAATGCATTCGTGCAACCACAACATAGCTGCAGCATGACTTTTCTACAATAAATTTGTATTAAACATTCCATATTTAAACACTTATAGTTTGCACATTATTCACTATAATCACCTTTGTGATCACTAATTTGTTTATCCCACCGATGGTCTCCCCATAATGAGTAAATTGTGAATTGCAGATTAAATATTTAATGAAAAAATGAGAATAATAATTATATCCTTAGAAAAAATCTGGAACTGGCTGATTTTTATATTTTTAATTGATATTTTGCAATATTTTGATGTATACCAAAAATATTAAGAATTATGATCTAATAATTTTTATTTTTTATGTATTATGTATTTTTCAAAATATATCAAAAAATTTCAGTCATCCGTAGATTGTTAAGTTGTATAGACCCAGTTTAAATACTTAACATATATATTATAGATGATAAGATTTTTTATACAAACAACTTCAATGTAAATATATTAACAGCTGTTTTAATGATTGTTTGTAGAAGATATAGCAATAAATTATAGTAAATTTTAATAACATGGATAAAGTTTTGCATTGTTTCACAATCATTACAGCCCATCACAAGTGCACTGCTGAATAAAGGTATCCTCTTGTGGAATACTGTAAACTACAATCCTGACCAAACTATATCTATTGATTTCCTTTCTGTCTTACCAAGTCATCCTTTCCCTACAAGTTCGGCCTCTTGCCAGTTCTCCTTATTGAACAGCTGAGCTATGTTAGTTACTTTGGTTCTACTGCTGATATCCACATTATGAAGTTTATCACACAGCAAAACTTTAAGCATGGCCTCTCCATGTCACTGAGTGACTTGGTGGTGCTCCCAACAATTACCAGCATAAATGTGACATGGACATTACATACAACTTTTGTCTTGCTCATGTTCATCTTAAGATGTGAATTGGTCTACAAATTGAAAAAAAAAATCGAGTGTATTTCACATACACACACAGATTTGAGGACTTTCAACAACTGAGTTCTGAATAACCAGTTTCTGACAAATTTTTTATTACCTTAGACCACATACATACTTCTTGGCAAATTATACAAGACTGAAGAGTAGAATCTACCATTTTGTCTTACATATGTGGACTATGATAAAGCCTTGCATTCTGTAAAAATCTGGGGATTGCTAGTCCGTTTGACATGCCAAGTAGGTATATTGAAGCACTGATGTGTTTGTACAGTAGGCCAAGGGACTAGGGAAGCAGAGAACATAATCTATAAAAAGTTATTATAAATGACTTTTTTTGGAATATATATTTCATAAAGTTAAATTGTAATTGTTGGGAGAAAAACTTGTGACTTCTTGCTGCTTCTCACAAAACACAGTAGGGCTTGTTAAAGCAATGCCATAGTTTACAAAAAGGACTTCGTACAGGCCAATTTTGGATAAAAATATTTTGATTAACACATCAAACTAAAAGATGTAAGACAGGGTAATGTAATATACCTGAAACCCTTCACCGCTGCAAAACAAGAACTGTTCAAGCTACTGAATTTCGGCGAATATGGTAAAAATAAATTCAATTTAAAATTAATTTTATTTAGATCTATATATACATAATAGCTTATTGTTAAAATGCTTTAGTTAATAATATTCCATTTTAAAAAAAATGTTTTAATATTTTTAGAATAATAACAATATTAAATGTACATATAAATATTTACAAAGGCACATTTTTAAAGTTCCTTTAATTGGATAATTTAAAAATAATTTACACGTAATTGTTAGATAGTGCTGCCATGGGAATACTTGGAGTATGATTTATGGAGCATTAGATCACCATGAAGTATACTATTCTCATCTTCATTACTGATTTCTTGAATTGTTCCTCCAAGTGTAGGAGGTAACTCAATATTCTCATCTGTCAAAGTATGCTGGAACAAACAAAATGTATCATAAGAATTTGTTAATTAATTCATTAGAACTTATCAAAAATCAAAAGTATTGCTGGCAAATAAAGCATAAGCGATGTAATATTTGCCATAGTTACAATGCTTGGCAGGTGTAGTGGTAAACACAGTGACTGTTTCTTATTATTTTGAGTAATCAGGAAGATTATGCAACCCATCTACTGATTCATTAACGAGTAGCGGATTCACTCACGCTGGCATATTGAGGGTATACTGTTAAATATTATATGTGTAAAATCAAAAAAGTAATGTATTGTCGTACTGAAAACATATTTCTTCTACTTCTTCTTCACCCTGTAAGTATATAGCTGGACATTGACGCCATTATAGAGAGGATTTGCTATAAGAGGGCGACACTGAAAATTTTTAGAACTGGCCACTTGTAAACAAAATAATGAAAAAATAAGTAAAAATTTTGAAAATTGAACTCTTTGACAATATTATTGTGTATTTATTTAATTAATTTGTCATGTGTTTGAAAATTGTCTGTCACGTCAGCATAAATTTAATGCGAGAAAATTTTTGTACAATGGTTTTTTTTATGACTTTCGATGTCTTTTAAGTCAACAAGAAAGTTATGAATTATGATAGACTTTGATTGGCTTTTCACGATGAAGCCCCATGTTTACAATCGGTTAAATGAGTTTAAACGTGGTCGCACTAATCTCACCGATGAACTGCGTGAGGGACGGCCTTCTACGGCGACGACTGAAGATAACATCAGTGTTGTGCGGCGTATGTTAGAGACTGAGAAAAGGGTGTCTTATCAGCAGATTCGCACAAGCTTACGCAGCGATATGAGTCAAGTGCACAATATCCACCATGAACATTTAGCGGTCTTTGTGCCCGGTGGATACCTCATTATTTTTACAGAGGCCCAAAAACTCCATCGTGTTGATTGGTGTCGTGAAATGGTTCAAAGATTTAACGGAGGTATCTCAAATGCTGTGTTCGACATACGGGTGGCGAAAGCTGGATTTATTGTTATGATCCTGAAACTAAGAGACAGTCTGCTGTCTGGGTTTCCTTCCGAGTTCTTCTTCGACTTCCTTCCGAGGAGTTGCCAACTAAAGTGAAGAGAGGTCGAAGCGTGGGAAAAAAAGATGGCCTCGATTTTCGAAAAGAAAAAAAAAGAAATTGTCAAGCAAAACATTGTTTTAGAGGACCGAAAAACAATTACTGCAGAGTAGTACACTAACAATTGTTTGCCACTTGTCTTGGAAAACTTTCGGGAAAAACGACCTCTAAGTAAGATCCTCATTCACCAAGACAACGCCTCGTCGCACACCGCCAAGCAAGCAATCGAATACTTGGCGACGTGGAATTACTGGGTCACCCGCCCTATAGCTCCGACCTCGCACTTTGCGATTTTTATTTATTTCCGAAAATAAAAGAAAAACTTCAAGAAAAACTTTTTATGGACGCTGAGGAAGCAGCGGCTGCGTTTCAAAATGCCGTCGAAGATACGCCTAAGGACGAGTGGGCAAAGTGCTTTTCTCAGTAGTTCCATCGGATGCAGCGATGTAATACTTGCTAGTTTGTTAAGTTTTTATTTTCTAAGAACTTTCAGTGTAACTCTCGTAATCAACATGCTTGGTAAGCAGATTGTCTATTACGGTACCAGATCTATTTCGATACTTATTTTATAACTGGCCTGGCAGACATAAATTGCACTTCCAAGAAGGCGGTGCAAGAAGTTTCACTTCAAATTCACTATGGACATTATGGACATATTGTGTTTTTATATAAAAGAGGGGGTAAAGGAGCTTGCGGCTCACCTGGTGGTGACTACCGCCGCTCATGAACAACAACCATAACACCAGGGGAATTGCAGGTGCTTTGTCGGCCTTTTAGTAAGACGTAAGCTCTTTTCTTGAAGGTCAAGTCGTATCGGTCCGGAAAAATCCTCGAAAAATTCCAGTTGTACGAGGAAAAAAAGACAGCTCACAGATCATGCATCCAGATGGTGTCGATGGTATGGTGAATTTTGACGCAATGTGGGTTCATGAAATTTGGCGGCTGGAATTAATCCGAACAATTTCTTGGAGTGCTCTCCGTGGTAGATGCCATAGAATGGAAAAAAAGGATGCAACACCCCGTTGCATTTACTGTCAGCCAGTAAATCGAGCCGATCAGAAAGAACTCGGTCGTCGACGATTCGAGCTGCCCTGCGCTGAATGCGGTCAAGTAGAAGTAGCTGGCACTGGGGTGCCTCGGCTCAGAGATGCGAACAGTATTCTATGTGAGGTCAAACTTGCGCCTTGTAAAGTTGCAAGCTGTGTAGCGGCATGAAATACTGTCCCGCTTTGCTGAACACGCCAAGTTTTTAGAAGCCAATTTGGCCTTCCCTTCCAAGTGGCCACGAAACTGCACATTATTCGATATGTCGACGCCAAAGATTTCGATGCTAGGTGAAGTAGGGCAGCAAGGCAGCATCTTAGCGCTAAACGCGCAAACTTGTGTCTTCTGGGGATTTAACTGGACTAGATTTAGTTGCCCCCAATCCGATACTTTGTAAAACAAAGTCTTGACTTCAGACACAACTTTGTTCCGGTGCTCGGCGACGTTTTCCCGAGAAATATTGGCACGGCCGGTGTATAAAGCATTTCCAATGTCGTTGTCCGCATAGCAATGAACGTTATCAGCTTGCAACATATCATTGATATGCAGAAGAAATAGTTGGTGATAGTACGCAGCCGTGTGGCACACCAGCGTTAATAGGCTTGTAATCAGAGAATGCACCGTCTACTAAGACCTTGATGCCCCGATCAGCAAGGAAACTGGTGATCCAATTGCACAATTTCTCGGGAAATCCATAGGAAGGGAGTTGCGTAAGCTTCGCTATGTCCAAATTAAGGGCCAATGCCTTCCCCTTGGACTCTACGGCCTCCGCCCATCTATGAGTCAAGTAGACAAGAAGATTACCTGATCAGCTGATCGATCCCAACGAAAATCGTATTAGCGGTCACTAATCAGTTGGTGATTCTCAAGGTACCTCATGAGTTTATAATGGTTTCCATTATTTTGGAAAACAAGGAGGTGATATCGATAAGCCTGTAGTTGAACGGGTCTTAGCGGTCGACTTTTTTAGGAATCAGGTGAACCATCGCTTTTTTTTTAAATAGAATAAGGGTGACAAACGAGCACATAGTCCACCTGATGGTAAGTGGATACTATGGCCCATAGACATCTACATATATCCTCGAAAAAACGCAGATGCATTGCCAACCCTGAAGACTAAGATGAAATGCCTCGTTTCCAGTAAAAAAGGGTCTCCGGATCTCTACACTCACCATACGAAACACAGCAGTAATAAGCTGTTATTTTACGCTGGTATTCTTGTGAGAGCATCGTCTTTCCTCGGTCGAGATAACCCATTCCTATTACAACCATAATATAGCTGCAGCGTGGCTCTACCACATATACGTAAATGTCTTCAATGATTTCGAGACTACGCGTTGGAAGCAGGAGTACCGGAAAAGACACGTAAAAACCGGTGCCAACTTCGGAGCACATGTCTTCAGAACAATGGGAGGGACTCCATTATCTGTCTCCGACGGGCACCACAGAACCTGAAGTACCACATCATCGACAGAATCAGCAACAACGCTGCGATCGTCCGACGTGAAGCAAAACCGCCCCTAAGGGTAAATGTAAAAAAGGCCGCATTCTATCCCAATCGGCCGACCTTTAGTGTCAAACACGACGGTAACCTGCAGAATACAACCACGACGTTAGCGTGAGTGGCACCACACTCCGGACTAGACAATGGTCCGAGGAGCCAAGAGGGGTGTCGATGGAAACCTGATATCCGTCTAGAGGAGTGGTCAGCAGAACGTCCAACAGGGAAGGTTCATGATCCTTCACATCTGCAATCCGCGTAGGCGAAGCAACCAGCTGCGTAAGATCATATACCAAGGCAAAGTCAAACAGATCTCCCCGCATGATTTTTTAAACGTGAATTGAATCATTCGGCGTGGTAAGCGTTAAAATCGCCAAGGATCAAAATCTCTGCAGATGAGATCTGCTGTAACCAGAAATCTGTAGCCATTTGGACGTGGTCAATGAGGCGGTCTGTTTCGTCGTTACCGGTATGGGACCTATAGAGGCACCTCCATGATGTATACGCAAATTCCAGCCCGTAGAAGTAGTACGTAGTAGCCCATAGCCAGTAGAAGATACGAAGTATCAGCCAGAGTCGCCATGGTATTGTTGCCCAGTTTGCCCCAAACTGTTTTCGTGTTGAGTGGAATTTTCGCCCCTACCCCCTTTCCAAATACGCGGGCGGTCTGAACACCCACGCTCAGGAGGAGTGGAGTAGCTTGTTCGCAGATTCTCAGCGAGGAACTCTCCATTATCAGGGTTGCTGGTAGCCTTCTCGGGTTATATTTCATTTAATTCCGCTACCAATGACCTATTAGCTCCAAATTTTAGGTTTGATTTAGCTTTTATAGTGACTAAACGAACATATTTTGTGAATCTAAAGGCATTTTAGTCCATAAACAAAAAAATGTTAATAAATTCTGTACAGCTGCACCTAATTAATCCAAGCATAACTATGAACCATTGCCTCTACAAGACAAATGTATTGGGTAAATATGACCTGAAATATCAGTCAATTAGAAATTACACCATCATTAACAGATGTACCACCAATTATATTAGTCACATATAGGTTATATAGGTCATATTTACCCAATATTTGCCTAGTAGAGACGATGGTTCATAGTTATGCTCAAATTAGGCGCAGTTAAAAGCATAACAACAAATACATACCTCGTGAACTTCAGGCTCCATTCTACTTAACCTACTGACACAATCTTGTAATGATTTTGTTTCAGATGTGGCATCTTGCAAAGCTAATTTCAGTTCCACTATTTCTCTTCTTGCATTTAATAATAATTTTTCGGTGGTATTTAATTTATCTTTCAATTCATCATTTTCCATTTGTAACCTTAATTTTGTTGAAGTTAAACTTTTTATTTTATTTTCATAGAGTTTCAACTCTGAATCAGTATCTTTGAGGTCAAGAATATTATTTGATTGTTCCATATTCAAATTATTGCACATTTGCTTTAAATGTGATACATTTTGTTCAAGTATTTTCTTCTCATCTGAAATAAGTTTTATTTCATTTTCAAATGCGGTGATTTTACATGTCATTGCTGAAATTTGTGCAGACTGATTGTCAATAACATTTTCCTTATCTATAAGTTGGGCCTCTAAACTTTGAATTTTATTAACATATGACTGTAATTGAATTGATTTAGATGCAGATTCACTTTCTAAAGAATGATTTGTATTTTCTAAAATGTTAGCTTCTACTGATAAACTAGCAAATTGTTCTAGCATGTCTGATCTTTCTGCCTCCTTCTGTGACAAAAGTTCCTCAATTCGTCTTACTTCTGTCACATAATGTTGTAACTGTTGTTTAAGACTGTCAACATCCTTCTTAGATTTCTCCAATTCCAACTTAGTCAATTTTAATGTACCATTTGTATCAGCTAAACTATTTTGTAACTGTTTATTTTCTATGATTGCATTATCGTATTTTTGTGTCAACCTTAGTATCTCACTGTTTAAAAACATAATCTGTGATTCATAATCTGATAACTTGTGTTCTGATGTTTTATATAAATTCAGTTTTCTTTTTAATTCTGCATTTTCGTTTTCTAATTTACTCATTTCAAATACTTTATTATTGATTTTTTGTTCTAAGCTACTTATGCGTTCAGTCTTGTTATCTAATTCTATGACTAACTTATCTCTCTCTTGGTCCAGACTTTTAATATTTTCAATTAAATTTGATTTATCATATTTTAGTGAATTTATTTCTGACTGTAATTCTTTACATTTTTTTTCCAACTGACCAATGTTTTCTTTAGACAAACTTAGTTGTTTTTGCACACTTAATAATTCATTATGTATCTCAGAACTATTTCGTTCTGTTTCAATTTGAATATGTTTAATTTGACTAGCTAGTGTTTTTTCCTTTATTACATCATTTTGGATTTTTTTAATTTGTTCTTTAAGGAAATTACATTCTTCTCTTAACTGTTCTGCAGAAGCTTTACCAGTTCTATTTGTCATTTTATATGAACAATTTTCTTCCTCTAAGTGTTCTATTTCTTTTTGTTTAAGAGCTAAGTCTCTTTTAAATTTCTCTACTAAATCTTTTAATTCATTATATCGCATTTGATATTCTTGTTTATCCTTCTTTGAAAATTCTAGTTCTCTTAATAGTGTTTCATTTCTCTCTCTTAATTTAGAATATTCTTGAAAGGTGCATTCATCACTGTTTTGTTGAGCCGAATAATGTGTTTTATAATGACTGATTTGCTGACTAAGATAAATATTTTCTTTTGTAAGTTGAGCATTTTCTATATTCAAATGCTTTATGATATCCTGAAAATTCTGCTTATTACAATCTTCTTGTTGAATTGCTTTACATTTAAGTTCATCGTTTTCCTTTTTTAACATTAGAATCTTTTGTTCACTTTCACATAACCTATTGTGTAAGTCTCTTATAAATGTATTTTCTGGCGAAATTTGTAAATTACAACTTTTTTTCAACTTTTCTGGTGTATATTTATTGAATAAATCCAATACCTCTGAAAGTTTCTCTTGAATATTATTCATATATTTCTCATACCTTTCTCTTTCATCCATTAAAAGCTTTTGTAAATCATTCTTTTGAAGGCATTTAGTATTACTTTGACTATATTGAACATCCATAGATATTTTATCATAGTAGCTTTTGTTAATTTGAGATAGGGTCACAATTTTATCTTGAAGATTGCTATTAATTTCTATTAAATCCTTAATTTCTTTTTGCAATACATCTTTCTCCTTGAGAGCTAAATTAAGTGATTCTTGTATACAATTTTCTTTTCTTTGGTATTCTGATAATTCTTTTGCTAATTCAGAATTTTTCAAAGTTAAATTTTCTAATTTAGCATGTGAAAAGTTTAGCTCATTTTTTAATACAGCTAATCTATTATTACAGTCTTTCTCGACTGTTAATGCTAACTTATCTACCTTTAGCAACTCCTCTTCCAAAACTTTATTTTTATCAGCAAGTGTTAACGCACGTAACATTGCTTCATGTTGCTTTCCTAAGCCAATGGTAATTTCTTTTTTTAAAGCATCATTTTCTATTTTTATTTCATTAAGCTCTTTCACTATTGATTGATTAAAATTGGCATTCTTATCACAATAGCCTTTATTTATTGTTGGTATTGGCCTACCACCTTCCAGCAACATCTTAAGTCTGAGGATTTCATTATCTCTATGCTCTACTTGGCTTTTAAGCAATAAAATTTCATCACAGAAAGCTTCATTTTTTTCTTTTAACAACTGTATATTTTCACACAGTTCATGTTTATTGTTAACTAAATCAGTGTTTCCCTCAGTATCATTACAAACACAAATTTTGCTTGTAATTGGAGTTTCCTCTTCCTTTCTTTTACTTTTACTCCGAGTGCTTTGGGTACTGGTACATAAATTTCTTAAGCTCAAATCTCGAAGGTCATGTTGTAATTTAATAATTAAAGTATCTTTCTTTGTTAAGTCGTCTGATAAACATTTAATTCGTCTTTTATTTTCTTTAGAAAGCTTCATATTTTCTTCTTTTAGCTGCATTATTTCTTTATGCAGTTGATTATTTTCGCTAATTAATTTAACATTATCACATTTATAGGGTTCCACTTCCATAATTAAAGAATCACGCTGTTGAAGTGCTTCTTTGCATAAATCCATATAATGCTGTAAGCTTCGGGTGGTTTGCAACAAATCAGCTATAATACATTCAACTAAAGGGACTGCATCTATGGGTAAAGTATAACTATATCCCAGCGCCTCCAGTTTTTGTTTAAGATCGAAGTATTTTTCACCGCGATATAAATCTTTGTTTTCACACATATTTACCAAAAGCTGTATAATATAATGTTAAATAAAATTCAGTAAATACATTACCAAAACTTATGACTAGCAGCATTTATGAATATAATAATGTTGATAACTACATTTATTATTTATTTTACACTAAGGGTATGTTCCGAAATACGCAGTGTACTGTCCAATGCAAATGACGTCATGAATCGACGCTATACTGGTGATTCGTTCCAAAACATTGGACAGTATATGACGTCATACTTTTGCGCCATTTGGAAAAGTGTTGGCGATTATTTTGTCATTTTGTGCTCCAAAAATCATTATATCCTCCTAATGGATATACTATCAATTATTCTATAATTTTTGTATTTGAATAAATAGAAACAAATTCTGGCATGCTTCATTCGGCAAACACACAATTAAAAATTGTTTTATTATGGCCGGATATCCGACACAATATGGCAGCGGCACGTTAGTACAATAAATTGTCAAATGATGACGTCATTTGCATTGGACAGTACACTGCGTTGTATTTCGGAACATACCCTAAATAACATAAAACAATTACTGGAGGCTAAATTATTTATTAACTGGCTTTATGGCTCTGGGTTCTAAACCTATTGGAGGCTGGAACATTCGGTAGAATCCACTAGTTAGTCTGTAACTGGAACATAGCCTGTTACACAGTAGGCATGGCGTAGAAAGAGAAACCTATACCAGACAAATTGACGACTCCATGGTGCGGTGGCTTAGCAATGAGTGGCTGCGCTGGGGGTCGCGGGTTCGAATCCTGCACGGAACAAGTTGTATGGCCTACAAATAATTGTTCCGGGTCTGGATGTTTGTCCTACATATCCATACAGGAGAAAATACTACTGTAGGGGTAACGTTTAAAAAGAAAATTCTTTCGCATTCGCACATGAAAAACATAGATTTATGCATACGACTTGCATAGAAATGAGACAGAGCGGTGTGATTGTTTGTCCTTTTCTCAGTGCCGGTTTTTTGTTAAGCAAAGTAAACTTTGCTAAACAACTTTGACAGTTCGTAGCGATCTAAGGAGTTCACAAGTTAGTTTAAATGAGAAAAAAAGTGTTTTATGAGCTTACGAATGGTGAATCTAGTTCAGTTAAGTTCTTAGAACAATTAAACATTTTAAAAATGATTAGATGTAGTGTCTTAGGATGTAAAAGTGAACGTAAACTCACCAGTATATCATCTCACTCGTAAGTATAGCACGTTTTATCTGGTATTACGTATCAAATTAAATGGTTATTTTAAATTTCGTTACAGAACTATATAAATATACGTTTAAATTTTATCTAAATATGTTTAAAAGTCATAAAGATTATTGTATAACCTAAAACCAAAGACGGAGAATTTTTCTGTCTACGTTATCGTCCTTTCTCACTCGAGGCCACGCTAATCATTAGTCTATTTGGTTTCTCTATCTACGATGCATGGCGATCTGAGATAGATTAATCTAAGTATCGATTTCTTGTGCCAAAATATTATTTTTTAAATCGATATATAGTACAGAATCAATCCAGTGGATTGATATTTCATCCTAGAAAATCGAGATTGAATCTTTTTGTTTTTATAAGAATTATAAATTTATTTACAATTAGTTGAATGTACTCAAACTCGTAAAGAATGACAGTTTTTCTATTCAAAAACTCAAAACCGCTGCTTTCTCAATTTTTTCGCCTCCTCTTAATGAATTAAAAAAATAAAAAATAGGTTACGTTTGTAATCTGTACTTTGTTATAAATTTTGACACCGTAAATATAAACTCAGAAATCAAAACGAAAAAAGATCGATTTTTGAGAAATCGATTCACAAAAAAATCGAAGTCTAAACTTCGATTTTTCTGTGAATTGATTTGCAAAGCAATCTTTTTCGGAAAGAATCGGCATCGTTATTTCACAGATTCATAGACTGTAGATCACTATATATTATGGTTCATAAAAGATAGCTTGATCTCTGCGACAGCTGTCAGTAAAAATCACGCCTATGAAGTCCTGAATTTCTTAGTACCTGTCAATGTCATACTTTATGGGCATGCACTAATTAGGTCGGCATGCTCATAAAATATGACATTGACAGGTACTGTCTGTACTACTAAGAAATTGAGGACTTCATAGGCGTGATTTTACTGACAGCTGTCGCAGAGATCAAGCTATCTTTTATGAACTATAGGCTTGTCTGTAAGCTTTTTTTATTATGATCATAGATAATGATTACGATTTTTGGCTTAACAATCTGAGTTTGATTAATCGAAGAATCGATTTGTTGTCTCAAAAAAAATTTTTTTTATTAATATTTAGTACTGAATATATCCAGTTAATCGATATTTCATCCAAGAAATCGAAATTCAATTTTTTTCTGTTTTGATAAGAACCATACAATTATTTACAATTAGCTCAGTGTACTCAGACACGTAAAAAAATTACAGTTTTCCACTTAATTATTAAAAAACTGCTCAGTTTCCTTCACCTCTTCTTAATGGATTAATGAATAATAAAGTTACGTTTATAATCTGGGCTTTGTCGTAATTTGTTGGTAGTATAATAGTAAATATCAAAAATAAGATAGATTTTATAGAAATTGATCTTTAAGACCTCGATTTATTTGTGAATAGATTCTTCAAACTTCGATTTAAATCGATTTAAGAATCAATCTTTTTAGAAAGAATCGCCATCCCTACTTGGACGCTCATCCCTTAAGCCATGTTCTCATTTCATTCGGGATTTTCGTTCATATAGATTTTTTCTCCATAATAATGATGTATAAATATGTGTCACAATGCGGTATTTTTGGGAGATTTTAACAACAGCTAAAACCACTCAAGTTCATAACGCACCTAAGCGGTCAAAAAGACTTGAAACACCGAAGCACTTTTTTCGTCGTTTCCTCTTATATTTCACATCCACCGATACTTAGTACACAAAAATCGCTTCACAATCATTATATAAATGATAAAACAGGAGCAATAATCCATCAACGGGCAAGTTCCCTCCAAAATTCCAACCACAGATCTAGTGGAGATGGTGGTAAAGATTATATTACATTAACATCCATCAATAAATCTGTATTACCGTGAGATTGCACTGGTGGAATAATCAGATTAAAACATATTTAAAATTCTGTTTTTTTTTTGGTAATATATCGTATTGAGTTTGAACTGTCAAATAGTATGTTGAAATGAAACATGTTTTAAATTTTACAGAACATAACATGTTTTTCAATAAGTTTTGGAAACCAAACGATTTCGATACAAATCATCAATACTGTTACGAGCTTAGGGTTCGTGACAGTAAAAACTGCCGATTGAATTACCAAAATTGACACTTTAATTACTGAACACCAATTAAAACTTAAATCACACTAATAATTATTCACACTTAATACTTTAGTTCACTTTATTTCACTCCGAAAGCTTTGCTCGTATCGATTCAATACTCCTCCGGTGGCGGGCTTCAACGCCTTTATATAACGCCTTAAAAGGCACTAATAATTAATCACACTGTAGCACTTTTCCTGCATATCTTACCAGATCGAGACTCTATTGGGGGGGGGGGGGGCACCCTACTCTTCGTCTTTTAATACGAGGCTACCACTCAAGAATCTTTCTTCTCATTGGTTGTCGGAGAATTCGTGTTTTTTTCATGTAGTGGCGGTGTAAGAATATCCACTAACACTACCCCATATCGTCCAATGTGTGCCGTAAGAGGTGACAGAGGGAAGGAAACCAGGAGATGGGCAGGAGTGTTTCTCTAATAACAAGCAAAAATATAAAAGCCTACGGTTACCAACCCGTCTGTCAAACTTAGCAACTATGGAAAATATCCTTATAAAGTAATCTATGGGAAAGTTTTTGTCCTGTTGGGTGACTAAGTTGATGTCTGGTACCTGGCACTAGCGCCATCTAGTGTCGGGGAACAGAGCGAGGAGAGCTTTCTAGAAAATTCAATTCCTGAACTTTCTACGAACAGCGGCATCTAGTATCGAATAGAAGAACTAAGCTTTCTAGAAAGCCCCACACTCGAACTTTCTGCACCTGGTCGGTCGGGGCTGGTATTTGCTGGAATATTCTGGATGTTTCGAGACTCGCGCGGACCGCCGTAGCGAACAGACGCGCGTAGCGGAAAGCACCCGAGAGCCGACCCGCACGACCCACGCACTGCGTGTGGTATCTTGAAATTTTGTGCGGTTCTTAAAACAATCCACATTGGAACGAGACTTGAAGTGTATAGAAAGTGAAACATCATGAACTGTGAGGACCCCGGGGGGAGCACCCTCTGGGATTCACCAGAAGAAGTGAGACAGGCAACGCCCAACAGAATTAGAGAATCAAGAGTAATAGGAAACATGCTCTCGAAAAACAACAGTGAAAGTTCACACAAATCTAGTGATATGGACACGGATCTACTTAGTCTAGACAAGGCAGACAAGTGAAAGACAAAGTGAAAAAAGTGAAAATGGACCTCAATGAGTTCAATAAAAATATAATACAGTGCTGGGAATGCGAACAATACTTCCAAACGGACGCCCCCTGTGGGGTACCAATCAAATGAACACGAGGAAAATCCAATGAAAGGTATGCATGGAAAGCTTTCTCATAAAGGCGGCCATTACTATAGTGCCCAAATTCGAAAAAAAAAAACACTAAAAATCGAAACTACCATAACAATATACACAGCCTCGCTAAAACCGGAGTAAGCAACTTTCGTGCGTGCGTGGACTGTAAAACAAAGAGAGAATTGATCACCCTACCGATAGACGCATTTACATCGGAAGAATGGTTCATCTGTAAGTGCGGCAAAAATCAATGCGCACTTATAAAAACCACGGCAGAGGATTCAAGCCCGTCTCTAACCACCCAAAAAGGCAAGAAAAAAATAAATCGTAAGGTCAGAACGACAAATAATACCGTCGAACTTTGCGCGCTAAATACATACCAGGGCGTTGGCTTGCAAGAGTCAGTGCACGTGCAACGAACGAGGTTAGAGCCGACGAACGGCACA